AGAGAGGGAACACAAGCAGGGGGAGTGGGAGAGGGAGAAGCAGGCTTCCCGCTGAGCAGGGAGCCCGATGCGGCGCTCGATCCCAGGACCCTGGGGTCACGACCTGAGCCGAAGGCAGACGCTTAACGACTGAGCCACCCAGGAGCCCAGCTGTGATTTTTAAATTAGTGGCTATCTCCCACCAGACTGTGAGCTTCACAGTCTGCTCCCTGCACCAGCCCCAGTTCCTAGCACGCAGCAAGAGTTCAATAAATGCCCACTGAATGAATGAATGAATGAATGTATGGATGCAGGAGGTCAGCTGCATCTGCACCCTCTGGCTCCTCTGGCAGACGATGCATGGTGGCCAGCACCCACCCACAACCACCTCTCACTGGGCCAACGCACCTCATGGGCACCCCGGAGTCCCGATGCCCAAGTGCAGGACCCAACCTTGGCAGGAGGCTTCCTAGAACAGTGCGCCGGCTCTGTGCTTCCCCACTGCCCAGGTGATGGCTGGCAGCCCTCCTCACCACACCTCCTACTCCAGTTCCCCCATCAGAAGAGCAGCATGTACCAAGCACTTGCTAGACATCAGGCGTTCTTCTAACTGCTTTTGCAAAGCATTAACTCTCCCAGGCTTCATGACAGCCCTAGGAAGTTGGGCCTATAATTGCTCCCATTTTACAGATGGAGAAACTGAAGTGCGGGGAGGTCCCATTGCTGGCAATAGAAACCCCCACAGAAGCCACCCCCAAAATGCCTGATCAGTGCCTGAATGCACACCATGAGGAAGATTCACTTTCCTCATGTATATTGAACAAAAGAGTGAGATCCAGAGGAGGGACATAAACTTCTCATTCAGATCCTGTGGGAGTCAGGAGGCATTAGCCCCTCTGTCCAGGTCCCTAACGCACCAGGTGGTCAGGAAAACAGCCACAGGGTACAAGTTTAAAAACAATGATTCCACATTTTTATACATTGTAAAATGATCACAGGAGGTCTAGTTATTATGCTGTATACCTGAAACTAAGGTATGTCCATCATATCTCAATTTTATTTTATTGCTTAAGCTTCAGCACAAGCAGGGGGAGTGGCAGGCAGAGGAAGAGGGAGAAACAGCCTCTCCGCCAAGCAGGGAGCCCGATGCGGGGCTCGATCCCAGGACCCTGAGATCATGGCCTGAGCTGAAGGCAAATGCTTAATCAACTGAGCCACCCAGGCGTCCCAACCATATCTCAATTTTAGAAATACAATTTTAAAAACAAAACTAACAATAAATGACACTATTTCTGGCTTTCTATATGCCCTGCTCTGTGCTAAACACTTTGCATATATATTCACTAGTTTAATCTCCACTGGAGGGTAGAGAGGAGTCTTATCAAAATGTCCATTTTATAGGTAAAAAAGCCAGGGCATGGGAAGAATAGCCTGCCCACAGCCCCACGGCCAGTGAGGCGTAGAGCTGGGATTAGAACTGCTCACTGCCCTGTGCCCTCAACCAGGGCTGTTTGCCCCTGGAAGGCCAAGAGGCCATCTCACTCCTGCTCACCCCCAAGACCTGGTCAGAAATATTACCTGTATGAATTAATGAACTGCTGGGTTTGAGGCGGGCTGCGGGTGATAGTCATGCTCTTGGAGTTATGCTCCCGACCGACATGGACAAACAGAAGGGCTGTGAGGCTCTGCGAAACCCACTGGGATCTCCCCACCACCCAGATGAGCTCTTGAGTCTGAGCTACCAACCAAACCTGGGATCGCATCCTGCCTCTGCCACTTCTTCACTCTGTGGTGCAGAAGAGGGGACTTGTCTCTCTGAGCCTGTGTGCCCCTCTGTAAAATGGGCCAGTGTTCAGCTCTTGGCATTCACTAGGAGCATTCTGAGGACGGAGGTCTGTGGGGTGCTGGACCCTGGGCTCAACAAACAAGGGGCTGTTGCTATTTTATTACTATTATTGTTAGCAGAGAGGAGCACCCACTCCAGAGAATTTCAGGCCTCAGGTCACAGAAGCCACAGGGGGAGCCTGGCCTTGCGGGCTGGGCCAGCAGGGAGTGTCAAGGGAGCTTGAACAAAAGGCCTTCTCAGGGGAGAGGCTGCTCCAGGCAGGAGCTCCGGGCAGGAAATCACCAGTCACAGCACTGAGCACTCAGCTGTGGCCCACGTCGGGGAGGGGGCGTGCCTCGGAGGTTTCCTGGCTG